GCGACGGCTAGCGAGAAGGACGAGGTTCTCGCTATACTAAGGGAGCCGTCTACGAGACCGGCTTTAACCCTTACGGCCTCCGCAACGCCGGTTATAGCGGCGATACTACCGATAAGGAAGCCGCTCCCTTAGCCGACTTAGGACGGTAAGCTAGAGTCCTTTTACTTCTTCCTTAGCCGGCTATAGACGAAGTTTATAACTAACGAGAAATAGGGCCTAAATAGCTATCGCGATATAGCGTGGTATTCGCTCCTTTATACGCTACCGGAGCCCTAGATATAGCGGATCTCCGGATTCTAGGATAAAGGCGGCCCTAGGGGCAGACGCGACCTATAAGACTTCTTTTAATACCTTATATATACGTTCGGTAACGTATAGGAGCGGGAGAAGGCGTAAGATAAATATGTAGACCCTTAAGTAGAGAGATAGATAAACCTTTAGCGAATTCCTTCCCGATTTCGAAGAGACGCTCTTATAGGTAGCGGGGACTATAGTATAGGAAGATAGCGTAAAGCTTATATAGCTACGGAATTTAATTACGCTAGCCCTATAGGAGCTATATATCCCCGTAATTATACCTACTAACTACGGCGAGTATATAAGCTAGTTAATAAAGGTAGCTTAGGGCTATAAGTAGACGCCGTGTTTTTAGAAGCTCTATAAGCGTACGCTATATAGCGGCGACGGGATTACCGCCCCTCTATAAGATAAATAACTAGCTATCGATATAGATAAGGATACCCTAATATTAGCTACCTATATAGACCGGGCTAGACGCGGTAAGAAGACGCCGTCGACCACCCCCTATACCGCCCCGTACTTTAAGTAGCGGGCGAAGTAGGTAACGAGCGAGGAAATTAAGAAGAGGAAGGCTAACGGCCGCTACTTACGTTACGGAGTATCTATATACTTTATATTAAAATGCCCCTTCTTTTTAGCTAAGCGGCCTATAGCGGTTTAAGTAGCGAAGATAGAACCGCTCCTTACCTTAGATAATAAGGAGGATTCCGCCCCCTTAAGCCTAGAGGAAAAAGAGTAGCTCTAGAGCAAAGATAGGCTCCGGAGCCTTAATTACTAGTACTAGTAAAAGAGAAAGAAGAATTATCCGCCTATATAGAAGAAGAGCCTACTTTAATATAGGTTATAATTAATAACTCCTTACCCGTTACCGCCCTTATAGATAAGGGCTACTAGTACTATACTATAGTTAACGAGGCGCTTACGCGAGAGATATAAGTACTAGTAGAAAAGATCGCCCTAAGGTAAGTAAAGGGCGCCTTAAGCGCGATAGAGGGTACGGTAATTAAAGGTATTATATAGCTAGCTATAGAGGTCGACGGTTGCTATAAGCTTACTATAGCTTATATAATCCCTTAACTAGAGTTTCCCTTAATCCTTAGGAAACCCTAGTTATTATATATAGAGTTATACTTAGTTCCGTACTAAAGGAAGCTATAATTTAGGCCTATATAATAGTAGGTCCGCTATAATAACGGTTCCGTAGGCGTAGGACTAAGCGTGCGAGCTTTATACTTAGTATAAGAAGTCCTTACCTCTATCTTCGTAGGAACTATACGATAGGTAGAGCGGGGGCAAGGCTAGGTAGCGGCTAACGTAGCGGTCTATATAGTTAGCCTAGCGGATATCGATAAGGCCCTCTAGATAAAGAAGCCGAAGTTGCCCTCTAAGCTATAGTAATAAATACTAGAGCGCTTTTACGACCTCCTACCGCTATTTAAGGCCTAGGAAGCGGATAAGCTTAACCTATATAAGCTAAGGGTAGACTATAGGATCGTACTCCGTACTAATAAGAAGGGGTAGGAACTGCCTATACTATTTAAACCGCTATATAGTATATTATATACGGAGTTACTAGTACTAAAGAAGACGCTAAGGGACCTCTTAGATAAGGGTTTTATTTAAGTAAGTAGCTTTAAAGTAAGAGCGCCGGTCTTATTTATATATAAACTAAGGGGCGGGATATAGTTCTATTATAACTATAGGGCTCTAAATATAATTACGAGGCTAGACCGCTACCCCTTACCCTTAATCTTAGATACGCTCTATAACCTTTCGAAGGTAAAGTAGTTTATAAAGCTAGATATAAAATAAGCGTTCTATAAGGTATAGATCTTAAAGGGTAATAAGTAGAAGACGGCGTTCTATATATACTATAGCTTATTTAAGTAGCTCGTAACGCCCTTCGGCCTCTTAGGAGCGCCCGCTACCTTCTAGCGTTATATTAATAACGTACTTTAAGACTTCCTCGATAAGTTCGCCTCTATATATATAGATAATATCCTTATCTATATAAGCGGCTCTTATAAGGACTATATATAGAAAGTATAGGGGGTCCTAGAGCGCTTCTAACTTTATAGGCTCTACCTTAACCTAGATAAGTACGAATTTAGGGTTAAGAGGGTTAAGTACCTAGGCTTTATTATCTACGTAGGCGTAGGTATATAGGCGGACCCTATAAAGATCTAGGCGATTTAGGACTAAGCTGCCCTAACTACGTAGATAGGTATATAGAGCTTCCTTAGGTTCGCGAACTATTATAGGATATTTATTAAGGGCTTCTCTTATATTATAATGCCCTTAAACGAGATTACTAGGAAGCGGACTGCCTTTTACTAAGGGCCTATATAGGAAGGAGCGTTCTATACGCTTAAGGACCTATTCTCTTAAGCCCCGGTACTACTTTAGTAGGACTTCGACTAGTCTACGTTAGTTAAAGCGGACTATAGCGGCTAGGTACTTAGAGGAACGCTCTCTTAGGAGGTAGATAGGCGGAAGTAACTAGTAGCGTTCTACTCCCGTAAGCTAACCCTAGTAAAGCGGAATTACGCTATTTACGATAAGGAGATACTAGCGATTATTAGCTACCTTAAGTAATAGTAAGCGGAGCTCTAGAGCTATAAGAGCTTCGAGGTTCTTATAGACTATAGGAACCTCGAGTACTTTATAACTCGCTAGTACCTCTTAGAGCGGTAAGCCCGCTAGGCGGAGTATCTCTTACGCTTTAACTTCTCGATTAAGTACCGCCTTAGGCGGGACTCCGCGGTCCTAGACGCGCTTTCCTAGAGGGATTAAGACCGGCTAATAGGAGCGGACATCGAGGCCTAGGATCTATAGCTTATTCTATAGGAAGCACTATAGACTTATATAGGAGCTTCCTTAGTAGAGGGAGACGCGGTGCTAGTAAATAAGCTTCCCCCCGCGCCCTTACCTCGGTCTAGTAAGGAGGGATAGACCGGCCTAAGGGCGCGCGCGGCGAGAGTATTCTAAGATAAGGCCCTTTAACGCTTATAGGATAGGATAGCGGCTCTAGACCGTACCTATAAGGGCGTATGCCGTGCCGTTAAGTCTAGCGCTCGACGCTTAGATCTAAAGCTAAAGCTAAAGGTATAAGTAGCCGACTACTATATCGACCTATAAGGGTATTTACGCTAGCGGGGGAGACTATAGGTACCGGGCGTACTATATACTATAGAAGCTAAGGAGAAGGAGGGACCGCTAGAGCTAGATAAATAGAACGAGCTCTAAGGGAGGCTAGTCTAACTTATCTATAACTCTAGTATTATAGGTTACCTAGGTAGATAGGGCATAGTAGTAGGCCTTACGAGGGACTTTTACTAGCCCCTCCTATAGTACTACGTTTATTGCTTCCTTTATAACTATAATATCTATAGCTATATAAAGATTTAAAGGGCATAGCTTAAAGGGCTACTTAAGTAGCTTCCGGTACCCGACCGGTTCTATACGTATATATAGATAGACTTTATAACGGACCTCTTACTTATAGAGGGCGGTAACTACTATATATAGGTAATTAAGGACCGACTTAGTAAGTCTATAGTATTAAAGCTAATACCGTTTATAAATATAAAGTCCTATATAAAGCGCTTCCTATAGTACTAGGCCCGCTTATATAGCTAGCTAGCCTCTATTATAAGCGATAAGGGATTGAATTAAACTAGCCGCTTTTAGTAGTACCTATACTAGCTACTTTAGATTATATAGCTACTTAGCACGGTATATTACCTATAGACTAATAGAGGGCCTAAGAGGGTTAACTAAGAGGCGTAGGCTTACCTATAGGCTATTATAGCCTATAACTAAGTAGACTAAGACTAGTAGCTCCCCGCGGCTTAACTTACGTTAAATAGTAGACTATATACCTCTATTAGGATAGCCCCTTTCTTTATAACGTATAGCTTTAAACTACCCTTATTAGTTCCCTTTACCGTAGACGTAGTAGTAGAGTAGTATAGTAATTCGTTATTAGAGGGCCGCGCCTTTACGTTTATATAAAAGCTATAGGAGACTATAGATTATTATTAATCTATAATAGCCGCCGCGGCGTAAGATTAAGAGCGGCACGCTAATAAGACTAGGGCCCTAGTAGATAGGTTCGCGGTAAGAGATAAGGTATAGCTAGACCTCCGTAACTATAGGTTAGTACGATTAAAGAAGAAGCTTAACTAGCTATACGTAAAGTTTACGGTATAGAGGGTTATTAGCCCGTAGGTTATAGAGCTCGATAGTCTCTTAATAGGGGTCTATAATAAGATTAACGTAGACCTCCTTTATAGAGCCTCCTTTAACCTACTACCTAGATAAGAAGTAGCAGACGCTTAACCGCTTATAATTAAGGTAAAGGGAGAGGATAAGTTTAAGGTTAAAGAGATATAGGCCACGCGCTAGAAAAAGGTTAGTAGGGGGAAACGCTAAGAGGTCCTCGTTAAGTAGCGCGGGTATCTTAACCCTACGTAGGAACCTATATATAAGTTTACGGGAACTATAGCCCTTAATAAGTTTAAAGCCTTATTTAAAATAGTAGACGAGAACGATAGACTAGTAGACTACTAATAGTAGCCTAGGCTAGGACTATAAAGTAAGTAAAGTAGGGTAGGTAGTTATAATAACGCGAGCGTAATTATATAAGTAAAGATAAAAATAGTATTTATTTTAAGGCAGAGCCCTTAAACTACTTAGACCTACTCCTTATCCTTATCGTTATCCTTATCCTTATCCTCGTCGTCCTCCTCTACCTTATTAACGGCGGCGGCGCTTTCTAGGGCGCTTAGGCGGCCCTCTAAGCCCGCGAGCTAGTCGGCGGTAGCGGCGGCTCCGGGGGCTCTAGGGGCGGGGGGGGCCCGGCTAGTAGTAGCGGCGGGGGCAGCGGCGGGCACGGCTAAGGGGACCGCTAATAAGGCGACGGAGGTAGTGTCCTTAGTACCGGGAGAGTTAGCAGCGGAAGTAGAAGAGCTAGATAAGAGGAACCTACTTAAGGACGAGGCCCTAGCGCTCGAGGGCATAGAGATTACGGTAGGCGGCGGCGGCAGCGGTAAGGCGCTTCTTAGTAGCCCCCTATGCCTACCTATGCGCGCCGGCCTTCTAAGCCGACGCCGTAGCGAGTAGGATAGGAGGCGCCGCCTTATAGGCGCGGCCGGCACGCGCGCACTAGTAATAACTACCGCTATAGCGGCGCCCGACTTAGTCGGCGTAGGGGAGCTCCTATAACGCGTACCGTATATAGGGGGCCGCGTAGGCGGCTCCGGCCTATACTTAGCGTTTATACTTTAAGAAGTTAGCGGAAAATAGCTACTACGCTCGCTAGGTAGCGGACTTACGGGGGTAGTAGTAGCGGAGGCGGGGGTAAAGGGGCCGGGCGTTACGGCCGGCGGCCGGGATAGCGTCGTTACCCGGAAGGGCGACGTAAGGGCGGCTAGCGTAGTAGAGGTAGAGGCGGCGGCGGTAGGCGCGGTCGCGGGGGCGCGGGTAAGAGCAGCGGCAGCGGCGGAGCCGTCGTCGGCCGTGCCTAGCATAGCGTCGACGAATAACTCCGTATACTCCGAGAAGGAGGAAGCGGGGGAGGGGGAGGCAGATATATCTATCGCGGAAGTTAGTATTATAGATTACGGCCTCTTACTCTATAGGGCAGAGAACTTACTAGTAGAAGTTATTATTATTAGGGCTATTATTACTACTATAGCTATTACTATAAGTATACGTTAATAAGGCGGCCCGTATAGCTAGGAACGAACTAACGCCTTAGGTAAAGCAGAACTTACCTATTACTACTACTACTATAGTTAAAGAAGGAGGAAAAGGAAAGGAAGGAGGAAGGGGGGGATGCCGCCTTATATACCCTTAAGTAGAGGAGGCTGCCTAAGGCTAAGGGGATAGGCAACCTAAGGCTTACGTAGGTCTAGGCCGGCCGCCGGCTACCTAAGGGCATATATAATAGGTTATGCCCCTATTAAAATAGCTAGCCGGCCGATAAGTATAAAGCCCGGTTCCGGCTGCCTAGGCTAATAGGCGCGGGGATAATAGGGCTAGTAGGGCTAGTATAATTAATGGAAAAGGGTAGGGTAGAGCTAGCGGTATAGGCCCTATAGTATAGAAGCTATTAATAAGGTAATACCGCGCCGCGCTTAAGGGAGGGCATTATATAAGAGTCTTTAACTATTATAGGTTATAGGCTTAGGCTATAGCCTAAGCTATATAGTTATATACGGAGGGCCGGATCCTATACGTATATATATAGGCTAGCCGCGTATAAGAGAGCTCTATATAGCTTATTAATATTATCCTACGGACGGTACCTATACGTATACCTCTACCTACTCCGTAATACTATCTTAGGTATCGTTATAGTTAGTTAGAATCGTATTAGCCCCGCTATAAAGTAACCTTAGAAAGTAACTCCTTTATATACGCGGGGTATATAACGTTAATTAGTAGTATAAGCGTTTTTAGTTAACGGTTAATAGTTAATTATATAATTATCTCTAACCTTATCCTATAACGATATCTTCCTAGGCTCTACCTTCTTTTTCCGCCGTAAGGCTTAGCGGGCTATTTTTATTAATACCGGCTTTTAGCCGGGCCGGTAGTTAGGTTATCGCAGTAGCTTCGCGCCGTATTTATCGAGTTACTAGTATCGGCCCTAGGTTTTTATTTTCCCGGTTAAGGGGCCCGGACCGGGGTTAAGGGGAGGTCCTAACGAATTTATCGCTAGGTCTAGGTAAGCGAGGTCCGGGCCGGCCTACTTATAGCGGGGCTAGACTGCTAGTATATTTATAAGCGCTTCTAGAAGCGCTAATTAGCTAATTAATAAGTAGGTTAGCGTAGTCTATTAGTCCGACTAAAAATTAATCTTGCCCCCGGCCGGATTTAAACCGACTCTAGCGTTATAGCTAGTAAGCTTCTTAGGTATATAACTACTATACTATAAGGGAATAAGAAGGATATTAATTATTATAATTATAAATAATATATAATAAGGCGATATATATAATTAGATAATCTATATAACTATAATAAGGATTAATACTTATAAGGGAAAAAGATAAAGAGTTAAAGAGGATATAAAGGAAATCGAGATAATAAGAATAGTAAAAACTAACTTAAAGATTATTCTTATATACTATAAATATAAAGTAGATCTAAATAAGAAGTTTAATAGACTTATAAATAAAATCGTTAAAGAAATTATATATTAAAGAATCCTAATCCCTTTAAATTACTTAATTAACTTTATTCCTTAACTAAGTAAGAGACTTAGTATAAGATATATAAATATAGCTTAAGGTATAGAAAATACTAAATTCTAAACCCTAGAGAAAGTAAAGAGTAATATAAGACCCTATAGAGCTATAATAATAGTTATAAAAGTAGCTAAAGATAATATAAAAAGTAGTTTACTCTTCCTTAAATATCTATAAGGAAAACTTATAGTAGCTTTAGTATAAATTAAAGAATAAGATAAAAAATACTAGGTCGAACTAATTAAGCTTACTTACCTTACTTATAAAGAATCGGATTATAAGTACCTTAAGGTCTAATAAGTATAAAAGAAAGTTAGGTTTATAACTAATATAATTAGTATAACGCGACTAGCTTAAAGACTATTTAATTAGTAAACTTTAAAAGTAATAGGACTAAGGAAAGATAAATTTATTATATGAAAAGTAGTACTCTTAATAGGATACTAAGAGATAACTTTAAAAGACCTTATAGCGATTCCTATAATATATATAAATATAGTCCTTATACCCTTCCGCTTACTTAAGTATATATAAGACCTACCTGATATTTAAGTATAGCTCGGTAGTTAAAAAGCTAAAGTTCTAAGCACCTTAATCGATACTAAGTTTAAAGGAAACCTTATTACTAAAAGATATATAAATATATATAGGCTTAAAATCCTATTAATAAGAGTATTAATAATAGCGTATACTAGGTCCCTTATAGATATAGTTAGGAAGGTAGAAACTAATCTTTATCTAAGTATAGCTTAGATACTAATCTATCTTTATATTATATTAAATAAAGTCTTAGTCCCTTTTATCTTAGGTATACTATTTATTAGAGCCGCGTATATATTATTTAATTATTTCTTAAAGAATAGCAATATATAGGTTAAATATTAAATCGGTACTATCTAGGTAGTTACCTTAGCGGTAGGAGCTATTAAATAGGAGCTTCTAGATAAGGTTAATATAGTAAAATCCTTTTAGACTATAACCTTAATAGTTAATAAAAATATATATAAAGGACTAAAGCTTAAGGAGACTATATAGGAAATAGCTACCTAGCTCCTAAGAATTTATTTTTAGGCTTTAGTAATAGAAGTTAAAGAAGATAACCTAGGAGCTACTTAATAATTATAGAGAAACCCTCCTTTAAATGCCTTAATAGCTAAGATTCTCTTACTAAGAAGTAAGATCCTTAGTTATAAAGGGGGCGCTAACTAAGTCCTTAACCTAGCCTATACTAGTATAAATAAGCCTTTAATAGTATTAGTATAATAGTAATTAATTATAAACGAAGGAGATAAGGCGATTCTAGTTATTAGATTTAAAATAGTAAAAGAGATTATTAAAGTTATAGTTATAAAAGCTATAAGAGAATTTAAGAAAAATATTATTAAAGCTAGAAAGAAGTTTAGAAAGATCTAAAAGGTTAAAGATAAGATAGGGAAGAAATAACCTATTAGATTATATAATCTAAGAGTTAATACTCTCTTTAAAAGAAAAGTAAATAAGATTAACCTTATTAATAATACTCTATATTAAATAGCTTAACGCTAGAAGGGGACCTTAACTAAAAGAAGACTAAATAGAATACTATTAAAGATAAGATATAGCCTAGACCTTACCTAGAATACTTAATAGGAAAACTCTTAAGTATATAGAAAGGAAAGTAGCTAATATAAGAGAAACTTAAAGTAATTTATAAATAATTTAAAGGTTTTCTTATAAAAGTAGAAATCTAGATCTTCGATAGTATTTTATTTAATAAGGAAGTAGTATTATCCTAGGACTTTTTAGAAAGAGGTAAAGTTAACTTAGTTATAGCCCCCCTATAAGTTATTAAGATAATAGAATATAAAGCGTAGTAGGTAGCCTTAATTTTAATCTTAAAAGCGATAGAGTAGAAAGTTATTAATATCCTTAAAATTAAACTAGAAATAGGAGTCCTTAAAGAAAAGTATAGGCCCTATAAGAACCCCTTTTTCCTTATAGTAAAGAAAGATAAAAGGCTACGCTTAATTAATTCCGCTATATATATAAATACTACTATAATAAGAGATATAAACCTACTATTAAATATAAATAAGTTTAGCGACTACTTCTTAATATATAAGATCCTTTCCTTCCTAACCCTTTTTTTAGGCTATAATTAAATCCCTCTTAATATTAAAACCTATAACTTAATAATATTTATAATACTTATTAGCCGCTTATATATATATATACTCCTTTAAATAGCTATAAACTTAGTCGGCTAATTTATAAGGATAATATAAAGAATCTTATAAGACCTTAAACCGAATATCTATAAGAATTTCCTTAATAATATAAGTATTAAAGGGCCCGATATAACGTATAATAATAAAGAGGTAGTACTAAGAGTAAAGAGATTTATCTTTAAATACTTTATTAACCTTAATAAAGTCTTAGTTAACGTTAAACTCTTTAGTTATATAATTATAAGAGCTAAATTAAAATTCTATTAGTAAGTAATTAAAGTTATTAGTTATATTTATAAAATAAATAAAAGGTGCTTTATAAAAGCTAAAGTTATTAAGATTAAGGAATAGATAAGATACCTTAATATAACGTTTATTAGAGCTTTCCTTAGTATTATAGGATACTATTAAATCTAGATTAAATAGTTTACTATCTTAGTAAAACCCCTTATAGACCTATTAAAGAAGGAAGTTTACTAAGAGTAAGGAGATAAATAAGTAAAAGTAATAGCTACTTTTAAGGAAGCTATTACTAATCTAGTCTTTTTAATATCCTTTAACGTCGGCTTAGGAAGAGGAGATATTATTTTAATATATAATACTAGTCTACTTAGCTAGGGAGTAGTCTTAATATAAATCGTTAATAAAAAGAGGCGCCTTATAAGGTTTAATAGTAAAACGTAGTTATTATTAAAAACTAAATATAATGCGATAAAAAGGGTTTATAGGGCTATATTAAGTATGCTTAAGAGACTAAGAATATATTTATATAGCGTATATTTTATCTTAGAAACTAATATATAGGTCTTAGTCGATTAACTAAAAGGTACCCTTAAAGACGTATTTAAAGCTATAGTAACTTACTAAATAAGCTATATTCTCCTCTTTAACTTTACTATATAATATATTAAAGGTAAGAAGAATAGTATAGGTAATAGACTCTTAAGAAAGCTTAAAGGACCTTTTAATATATAAGATAGGGAAATAAAAAGCAATATTAAAGAGTTTATAGACTTTTACTTAAACGTAGTATAAGGGACTAAGCTATAAAGGGACTACTTAAAGGAA